CGCAAAGCCTGGCGCTGTTGCTGCCTTGCTCTTTCATTCCCCTGGTACTTCTTCTTCATGGAATCCCAAATATTCTTGGAAGTAGACTTGTTAAGAATTGTTTCCAAGATAGCCCGATCTATGGCTTGGAACAAATAGTTCTTAGCCTTGAGATCCTTCAACTTTTCCTTCTCAATTTCTGCCCTCTGTGCATCATTTGCACCTGCCACTAGTTCTAGAACTCCAACTTCAACAATGGTCCAATACTCTTTGGACCGGAGAAAATTCTCCATCAACATACTCCAATGGTCGTAGTGATGACCATCAAAACGAGGGATTGAGGGCTGGACATAATTTTCGGAAGCCATGGAATTTTTCAGGAATAGGCTCTAATACCAAATGTTAAAAAATCAAGGATTCCGAAAAGAAGAAGATGGAATGAAAAATTGAATCTCACATTAAACTGAAAATAATCCAGCCTTTAAATAGGCTTTACAAGATAATATTATCTAAAAAGATAACTAACAAATCTTATCTAATCTAATTTAAATGATAACAACCTAAACCAAATAAATAACTTAAACTTCCTAAAATATAGAGATAATGGCTAAAATATAGGATCTAATTTCCAACAAGATTAACTAAAAAATTGACATATATAATTTAAATGAATAGAATTCTAAATCTAACTATTAGTTTTTAAAAATATTCATTGAATGGTGGTATTTTTTAATTTAAGACTCCAATTTTTTATGAAAATTGGAATTGAAATATACCATTATGTGACATAAAACTACTAATCTATCCTTAAACACTTCATGAACTGGTTTCTTACTAATTTATGTGATATGGAACTACTTATCTATATCCTAGACATATTTCTAATGGATGTTTCTTGTTAATGATTCACAAGTTTGGATTTATATTACCGTTCTTGTTGTTACTTTCTTCTTGATGGTCACACTTCATGTTGAAAGACTTCCTCATGCCTAATTTATATGTTCAAGTTTGTGCTAAGCGGTACAAATACACCTATCAAGTACATTTATACCCAACAATGAGCAGTTTGAGTAACATATAGAAATTTTCAATACATAAGAAAATATTATGTGTAAAATATTAAAAATTTTAAACTTTTACATACAATTATAAGTAAATACTTAATTTTTTTTTTTTTTTTTGGTTTCCCGCCCGGTATCTGAGGCTTCGCCTCGACTAATCCGGACCCGACCCGCATCGCGCACCTGAAAATGGTGGGTGAGTCTCTCAGCGAGGGCTGCTGCGTACACAAGGACTTAAACTCGAGATCTTGCTTAAGCTGGAACAAGTCGCTTACCACTTGATCCAACCCCTCGTTGGTATAAATAAATACTTAATTCATACATATAACTCACCCTTTATTTTTTAGAACCAAAAAATAAGCATTTCATTCAATTAGTTTGTTAATATAGCATTGGGAATGGCACCATATACCATTTTAGCAATTTCGTGTGCTAATCTATTACCCTCTCTCCTAACATGATTAATATTTCTGCATGGAAAGGATGACAGGCTGCTCATTTCCTTATCAACAACATTCCACCCCTCGAGTTTGATTCCACCACAAGATGATCACACCACATCTCCTTCACAAGCATTAATCCAAATTCAAAAGCCAAAAGCTCAGCCTCTATAATTGAACAAGAAACCTTAACCGCCTTCTGTGCCGAGCAAAGCATTGAGCTCGTACGTAGAGCACCACTGCCCTAAGCTAAACTTTGTCAGAATCCCTTGGCAAGGCTGCATCAACATGTATTTTCATCCTTCTTGTCTGTGGAGGATACCAACCTAGCACAGCCTCCTCAGTCCGCTGCCCAATTCTATTTTCCTTTCCATATCTACCTATTCCTCCCTCTCTAACTTCATCAACATAAACCTCAATCTTCCTCACCATAATATTAATCATGTCACATTTGAAATTATGAAGGCAATTATTTCTATTGTTTCCCATGCATTGACTAGAGCACGCACACAAAACATTTGAAGATCATTCCTACCGAATTGCAAGAAAGATTTTAAAAAAATCTAGAAAAAAATCTTCCCTAGTCCTACCTTTTTTCAAGCTCGACAAACATTCATCCCACACTCTTAAACTCTAATGACATCCCATAAAAGTACGAAAAATAATTTTCTTCTTTAATTATCTCTATACATATGTGAATCAAACTCTTTATCTTCACATTGGGAAGTTGATAGGCAAATTTATTTTTCACAAACTGCTACATTTTTTTTGTGTTTGGTAAAATTTTTTACTTAATTATAAGTACTAGTGGTTAGCAGTTAAAGTCTAATTTATTAATGAATTAATTTTTTTAAATTTTTATGATAAATTTATCCATAAAATAATTAGTTATAAAAAGCTACAGTTATAAAATGTAGCTTTTTCTACACTAACTACCTAAATAATTTAATAGTAATCTCTCCTCTAAGTAAGGTAAAAAATCATAAATTTGAGTCATAAATAAATGCATAAAATAAGTAAAAGAAAGAAATAAAATTATTTTTGATTGTGCAACTTAAAAAAAAAAAAAAAATGCTCTCTGCACAACTTTCGCTGCAAAAGCTCACCAGTCGAAAAACCTATGGCACAAATTTACACATATTGTTGTTGGTTTTTTTTCTTTTCCTAACGTTTTTACTATTTTTTATTCAAAAAAAAATTAACTAAATTATAATTAGAAACTAATTAATAGAGAAGTTTCTAATTTTTGCTTTATATTTAAAAAAAATTAATTTCTTCAATAAAAAAACTAATAATGAGCTGTTTCATTTTTTTTTTTTTTGCACAGCAAAGGAATTTATTTAGATGGAGTACAAGGGGTACTCCTGCCCTTGTACACAGAAAGTAATCACTGAGCATCCACTGACTACAGCTACCAATACCTCACAAGAACATGTGACAACAAAATGAAACAACCAAAGTCAAATAGTTGCTCAGTGAGACATACCAAGAAACAATGCCAAAACATCCACTATCTAGAATCCTTCTCTTAACCTCGTTTGGCTTTGAGGCTTAAAGCAGGTTCAAGCATCCACTCATACAGATTGAAAGAATATCCCGTTGTCCTACCTTTGATCCAATTAAAAGATCTTAGTTGCACTAGTTCAAAAATTCTATCCGCTTCCCACTCTTAATTTTTGAAAAGTTTTGCATTTCTTGCCATCCAAAGAGACCACATGGTGGAGAACCATACCACATCCCACTCGGCTTTTACTAGTGGGTCTTTAACAGGGGGTCTGTGTTGCTCGAAGTCATCATGGTAGGTCATAGGATGAACTGAGAGGAACCTCCACCATTGTGCGCATTTGCCTCTTACCAAATAAGCCACTCTACAGTGAATGAAAAGGTAATTGGCATCTTCAATGTTGGTTCCACATAGGCTGCACATCACTTGGTTTGGATCAAGAATAATTCCCCTCTTATAAAGGTTGAGTTTCATAGGTATTTTATCCTGCAGGATTTGCCAATTGAATGCACTAATTTTTGTAGGAATAAGTTTACTCCATAGTCTTACATGTGTTTGAGTTGTATTGTCGCTGCTGTTATTGGAGAGCAAGCCATATGCTGTTTTGACAGAATACTCTCCCTCTTTATTATACCTCCACTCTTAGCAGTCTTTTTGGCCATTGATTGGATGTGTATTATTAATTATCTCCAGCATCTCGATAAGGTTATCTTCCTCCCACCCATACAACGATCGTCTCCATTGTAATGTCCATTGCCATTTGTCTTCCCTCCATATTCCCATTTGAGAAATTTTCTTTTCTTTATCTATAGAAACAAGAAATAATCTAGGAAATCGGTTAGCGAGGGGTTGATCCCCTGTCCACATGTCCTTCCAAAAGTTGACAAAAATACCTCACCCAGTTTCAACTTAAATCCCCCTGACAACCATCCCCTGCTGTAATGATCAATATGGTCTATCCTACATATATTTCTCCACCATAGAGACCCCCTTTGGCCATTCTCACGTACCTAATCAATCCACCTACCCTCCAGACAACCATACTTGTGATAAATGACATTGAATAATAAGCCCACATCCCCTCTTGCAAGTATACTCCACCACTTCCCCATCAATGCTATATTGAATTTTCTAAGATCTTTGACTCCTAACCCACCCTCATTCTTACATTTATAGACTTTCTCCCATGAAACCCAATTGATTTTCCTCTTACTCTCCCCACCCCCCCATAGGAAGTTTCTACGAATTTTGTCTAAGGAAAGAATCAAACCTTTTGGGAGCAAGTGCACAAACATGGTGAACACTGGAAGACTGGCAGCACTGCGTTAAGGAGTGTAATCCTTCCACCGAAAGAAAGGAACCGACCTTTCCATTGGCTCAATTTTTTCTCAAAAGTATCGATCAACGGTTTCCATAGTGCAATACTTTTAATGCTGCCTCCAATTGGTACCCCCAAATATCTACATAGGAATGCTCCTTGCTTGCAACACAAAATGTGACCCATTTTTGACATCCATTCATCAGAAACATTTATTCCAAAGAGTTGGCTTTTCCCAAAATTAGTCTTCAATCCCGATACCAACTCGAAGATTCTCATTACACTTTTTGTTGCCCATATGTTGCTCTCCACAGCCTTGCCAAATAGAATCGAATCATTGGTGAACTGTAAATGAGACACTTTCATACCTCTACTGCCAATATCTATTTCTTCGAAAAGACCATGGCTGATTGCTGAAGAAATAATACCATTAAAACCCTCTGCGACCAGTAAAAATAAATAAGGTGAGAGTGGGTCGCCTTGTCTCAAACCTTTGTTGATATTAACTTGTCTGGTAGTGTTGCCATTGAGTAGAACTGACACCTCTGTTGTTTTTAGACATTCCTTGATCCACCTTCTCCATTTTGGATCAAAATCCATCCTCAACATCATGTAATCTAGAAATTCCCAGCATACCTTATCATAAGCCTTCTCGAAGTCCATTTTAAACATGAAGCTAGCCTTCTTATTTCTATTCGCTGCATCAATTGTTTCATTGGCGATTACTATGCTATCCACCATTTGTCTTCCTCTGATGAAGGCCATTTGGCTTTCTCCAATAATGCTGCCCAGAACTGAGCTAATTCTATTTGCAAGGAGTTTCGCTACCACCTTATACATGACGCCGATTAGGAATATGGGCTTGAGCTCCTCAATTTTCTGGGGATTAGTAACCTTGGGTACCAGCACAATCAAGGAGCTATTCACTCCTCTGACCAATTTCCCATTTCTGTGAAAGTCATCAACAAAACCCATCATATCGTCTTTAATTGCATCCCACATTTCTCTAATAAATTTAAAATTGAAGCCGTCCGGACCTAGTGATTTAGAACTTCCACAACTCTACATTGCTCTTTTTACTTCTTCTTCATTGAAAGGGGCAAGCAACAAACAATTATCTTCAGTTGAAATCTTCTTGAAAGCAATCCCATCAAGATGAGGATGTTGCTAACTGTCTTCTGCGAACAGGTTCTCAAAATAGTTCACCACACCTTCTTTGATTTCATTAACCTGTTCCATATATTTGTCGCCCACTTGTATGCCAACTATTTCATTCCATCTCCTTCTTCCCTTAACACACCTGTGGAAGAATTTTGTGTTAGCATCTTCGTCTTTGATCCATGTCTTCCTAGCTTTTTAGCACCACATGCTATCCTTCATTTTTTGTAGTTTCCATAATTCTAGGAAACTGTTTCTCCTTAGTTGCACCTCTTCTTCATTAAGGCCTGTCACCTCCCCTTTCAAATCAATGGCAGCAATTGAGTCCTTGCACTTATTGATGTTGAGGTCTATCTCTGAAACCATATTTTTGCTCCACTCTTTCAAAACTTTTTTCGTTTCCTTGAGTTTTCCTTTCAATTGATATCCATGCCAACCTGAGATCGTAGTCAAATTTCACTAATGAGCTGTTTCATATAACAAAAGCAATAATAATACTAATTCTTTTAGTTTTAGGAAATTGAAAATAAAAACAAAATTATATGTGAGTTAAATTTATTTTTATTAATCTTTTGACGTTAAATATTAATTGCTAACGATTTCATAATCAAACAATTATTAAAATTAACATTTGCTACCTACTATTTAATAGTTCCTCTGTCCTAAAATAACTTTTATTTTTTGACTCAAATTTATCCCAAATTAATTTTTTTTATCTTTTTATTTTTTGAGAGAGACATTTTTTTCCCTCCTTCAACCCTATTTTAATCATTTAATTTTAATTATCTACCCTATCCCAAAATTTTCACTTTTTCGTTATCTCTGTCGTAAAGGTGATATTAGTAAATGCATAACTTATCACTAAATTCTTAATATTAGGAAAAACTTGAAAGATGAAAGTATTTTGTGACATAAAAAGTATCTACTATTTGCTACCTACAAACCCTTAATAATACTTTTTTTGGCAAAAAAAATATAATTGCTACTCCTTCCATTCTAAAATAATCAATGGTTTTGTTATTTTTTTTCATTTTTCAAAATAGACAAATATTTTATTTATTTTAACTCTATTGTTATCATTCATTTTAATTAATCATTTAATTATTAAAAAGTTTTTTCATCTCTTGGTATAGGGCATTATAGAAAAATATAAATATTGTCTTACAATCCTTAATTTGAAGAAAAACTCAAAAAATAACAATTATTTTAGAGCAGAAGAAGTAAGCATAATAAAACTACATTATCCAAATATTACAATGAAAAAAAAAGTACTTTAAGTGTAACATCCCCTTTTGATAATCTCAAGGTTTATCAAGTAGGGAAATGTCCAGCACAAGATAAAAACAATAGAAAATATCTATAGAATCAAAAGGCTCATTTTATATACCATTCTCAGGCTCAATAACAATATAAAATAGATTGAAAATTACAGAGTCAAATGGAAGTTTTGGGCAAATACAGATTTACTTTACTGATATTTCAAAACACAACTTACAGTTAGCATAAGACCTCTACCCACAAAAAAAATTCTTTGGAACAACAACTACTCCACAAAAAACTTCTTAGGAACAACAGCTACTCTTCACTACTGCTATCTGAGATGGTGGGAATAACACCATAAGCTCACAGCTCAATAAGCATAATTCTCAATCTTAAGTTAAGCTAATAATCTAATCTTGGTATTTTATGTAGAAAATTTTCCTTTAGTTCCTAGTTGTACTAGCCTTACTGAAAATTAAGGCATTGTAACCACAAAATGATCACACAAACACAGCACATCAAATAGAAACAACACAAATTATGAAGTCCACTGAATGTGCATGCACTAACATTAGGTGTCAGATCTAATCATAGCATTTACCCACTGCGCAGAGGTCCACTAGTTTATTGTTCTAACCCCCAAGCCGAGGCTGGGGTCCAAACTCTCCATAGTCCTAAGACAATTACATCACATAACCATATATAGTATATAATCATGCATAACAAATTCAATGTTTACTTAATATGTCTGTAGAACTAATAGAAATAGGCTATAATAAAGTGCCCAGATCAAAAGCACATAACATAATCCAAGAAAGGTGATACACATAACATATTCATGTCAAAACTTGAACTATAAAAATTTCATAGTTTTAGCATATGAAATTTCTAGTTCAACTTACGTTTGTATTCATTTCTCTCTATCTTATATAACTTATTCTACAGCACCTTAATTTCTTATGTATATTCTGTCTAATTTATTTACCTTCTTATTTTGTTTGACAACTTTGACTTAAAATTAAGAACCACACTTACCACACACTTTGTTCAAAGTCCTAAACTTGGCAAAATTCTTCAAGATTCTCTAAGTCTGCCCAACCTATTTGCACCTTCTTCCTCCTTCTCCTTCGATCCAGCAACTAGAGGCAAAATGCAGGAAATTGACTAATTTAATTAGATAACTCAAAACCTTCGGTCAAGTGGGTCTTAAATGCTCCCCCACTTGGCCAACTTCTCATTCAACCACCTATCATTTATTTTAACAGATTATAGACAGCTGAACTACACTAACTCTCCCTGAAATAGACACCTAGTCTGCAATTTATTAAAATAACATGCAATCATATCCCATAATTAACAAATATTATAGATTAGTCCCTAATTCTAGATGAAATGAATTAGACTCCATGCAAATAAAAACTTATTTTCTTTAACTAATTGCAAATAAAGACTGAAATATCACGTTAAGGTGGCACTGATAATCCATCCTTATCCGGTACTCATCACCAAACAGGTAGTAAAAACAATCCGATTCGGTGGGCATTGAAACAACCTACTTTGTCTAGTCAACCAGCCCGCAGCTTCATTGCAAAACCATGATACCAGAGACAAATTACAACTCTTATTAAGTAAATAATGAATATTTAATCATACTCAATACAACCCGAAAAAGTTTGTGCACTCAAAATTTCTCATTTTCTTTTTTAGCCAACCGTTGAACACCCTAAAATTTCTCACGAAAAGTTCATCATATTCACGCAGTTAATACTTGATATCAATTTCTAACAATTAAAAATGTGTCACATTTTTTCTTCTTTTCTATTTGAAGTTTGAATTGTAGGTAGAATAAGAATAGTAGATGGCATACCGACGTCTTTCTACTTGCTAGTCCAAAAGTCCAATACAAGGTCCTAGAACTAAGAACTTTGAAGACTTAGCCATGAAGTTCTCTTCTTTGAGTCGGCATTGAAGTGTGTGTATATATATATATATATGGAATCACTACATTTATAGATCTATTTCATTACCTCCATTTTCATTCCTTGTGTGAGGAAGAGAACAGAGAAAAGATGCCGCCACCGGGTTGGGGACCACCACCAGGAGGACCTCCGGGGCCTGCCGGAATTTGTGGTTGCTTCGATTTTCTCTGCGGTGGCATATGCCGCCTTATATCTTCATGGTAAAGTTACTTACTTCTCTCCCTCGTTGCTACTTCTAGTCACTTGCTTTAGTTGAGAGATCTATTTTCTTGCTAGGTAGATATTAAGAATTAAATTTTAAATTTGTGATTAAAAATATGGGTAATTTTACCACCAAAAGAATCTAAGAGATCTATTAATAAGTTATTTCCAAAGCTTAGGATGTTTTTTATTTTTATTTTCTGGGCATATTATATGGTTATTAGGATGGGTTAGACAGTGATATATTTTGGCTTTTCCTCATGTGCTCGCTTTTTTAGAATA